GCAGGGTCGAAGTCGGGCTGTTGGCATCGAGATCGCTCCGGAAGCTGCAGGCATCGAAACACGCACAACAACACGGCCCATGGTGGCGCCTCGAAAGATCGACGGCGGCGCGAGCGATGGACTCGCGCGTCTGAAGCAGTTCTCCCGACCTTTGCCCGGCACGGAAGCCGAAGAAGCGAAAGCAAGATCTGCCGTATCCCGTAGGCCAGCTCCCAAACCACCAGCAGACGCTTCAGCCGAGAGTCTTGATACATTGGCCGCACATACGGGACTGCCGAGGTTGAAGCCACATCAAGTGGCGGCCGCACCACCACTCGCACCATCTACATCGTCACCCTCAAGATTGGGCAGTGCATCGCATACTCGAAACGGCACCCATACACCAGGCTCAGCAAGCGCAGCTTCGCCAAGAGCAGAGCTGTCGCCTCGACCGCCCCCGCCAGACCTGGCACGAAACGAGCGCAAGAAGCTCGACTTTTTCGGCACAGTACGATCTTCCTCGCCGCGGGATGCAACAGTCGAGGTGAGAGGCGTCAAGCGCGCCAGAACCTCCACCACGAGCCACACCAGCGGCAACAAGGAGCGGCCACCAGCAACGTCTTCCGCTGCGAACGGCGGCAGCAGCCCGCACAGACGTGTTCGGAAGGACGATCCTGATGCGCGGCGAGAGCGGATACGTCAGTAAGGATACCCGATGCGGGCAGAAGCGGCAAGATCCCCGATAGACGCATTCCCGGCATTGCCGATCGGACAACGGCGCCTTCCGGAAGATGCATCGGGGACCATGTAACACTATCAGATCAGACAAGTGATTCACATGTAACACTACCAGATCAATTAGGCAAAACGGGCGCTCACAGCTTTGTGGGCGCCAGTGAGCCAGCATGTGGACGTGCAAGGCAGGGTCAAAGGTCTTGGCGAAATTTCTTGGAAGGGCGGCTGCTGCGCGCGTGGCTGTGTCGCCTTGCCCCCGCCACCGTCACGATTCTGCTATGCTTTGAGGCTTTGGCGTGGTCCTCGTGTGAATGTGAAAACGAAGACCTTCTGGAAGAGCTGCGAGGTGGCAATGAGAGCGTTAGGGCGGTCCTAAAAGCTGGAATAATATGGCTAGGGGGAAAGAGGTGGGGTCTGATAGACCGGCCCGATGCAGCTGTGGGCTGACGTCAAAAATCGAGCCGAGCCTGCCGATTCAACCGCCCCACAGCATTCCGACGCATTCAACACACCGAACGAAGCTCGCAATCGGGCTCGTCGTGGCAATGGACACCACGCACATCCAGTACGCCCACGTCAGTCGATACAGTCGTGACGGTGGAGTGTGGAAGGTGAGGGGCATCAACCCATGTTGGTTGCATGGGATGTCGCACGACTACAGCGTTGCATGGCGTAACCTCCGCAGGCAGGCTGGAGAGCAGCCCAAAAAAAAGTCCCGCTGCACAGCCAGCGCTTCTCGGCGGAATGCAAAGTGGAGGTTGCTCTTGGACACACTGCCTCCCGCATCCACTTCGTCGCTCCACCACCATCGCGGCTCCCTCATCTCGTCAACATCTCGCTTTGCATAGGGCCATCCTACAGATCAACCCAACTCCACAAACGATCCGCTTTCCTCGTATCTAAATCGACACCATGGTGAGTCGTGCTTGATTCTTCTTGTCCGATCCTTGCCGCTCGAACGGCCTGCTGACGCCGATATGCATCCTGGCTTGTTTGGTGGCTTTAGGATTTCTGCTTCTTCATCCCCGTGATCTTTGGGTGTCCGACCAAGATCAAGCAGGAGGGTGATGGGTCGGCGCGCGTGTGTCCTCGGTGCAACAATGCGCAGGTGGTGCAGGCCAAGGCACGCACGTGGTTCGAGCTGTGCTGGATCCCGCTCATCCCCATGAAGACCAAGCACATCTACTACTGCAACATCTGCCAGTGGCAAACCCAACAGGACGGCGGCTTCCAGCCCCAGGTCGCAGGCGGCGGTTTCGGCGGTCACCAGGGATACCCACAGCAACCCCAGCAGTACGGTTACGGTCCCCCGCAAGGAGGCCAGTACGGCTACCCCCCGCCGAAACAGTGATCCCATCCACCAGCTCCCCGACTCTCCGTGTCTACATCAAGCACGTACCTATATCCCCAGCCTTCGAAAGATAAGTCAGTGTCTTTAACGAGATGTTTGTCTGCGACTGTGAGGTGGATAGTCTAGTGTACAAAGGTGTTGGTGGCGAGCATCTTGTCGATCTCGTCCTGCGATACGCCGTCGAGGCGCGTGAGGAGGTAGTCGACTTCGACCTCCTTGGTGAGCGGGATGACAAACGTCTTGTAGATGCGCACGACCGTGTCGATTTCGATCTTGCGCTCCTTTTCGCGCTCCTCGGCATTGGCTCCGGGGCGGTCCATGTCCTGGCCGTACACCTTGGCCTTTTCGGCGAGGCGCACCAGCAGCGCCGCTTCCACCGCGGGCTTGGTGATCAGCGCCGCCAGCTCGTCCCGGTTGGGTGTGAGGATGTGCGGGATGAATGCTGCTGGCTCCGCCCGGAACTTGGACTCGGACACAAACATGCCTGACCCCATCCGACGTCAATGAAAGAGCGAGCACGGTCAGTCAGGAGGAAGTGAAAGGGAGGCAGGACATATTGGGCGGCTTACCGAAGTGGATGCGCCGACTGAGGGCGGAAAGCACCTCCATATCGCGAATTGCCGACGAGCCGTAGTGCCCGTCGTCGGAGTTCTAGGAGACGATGTAGGGTAAGAAGCGGTTGGTCAGTCTGGAATTGGTCGCATCTCGGCGAATTGGGGGTAACGCACTTCTCCGAGAGTCCTTGTGATGTCTGGGATGATCTGATCGACGTAGAACTTGAGGATCTGGTCGTTGACGTTGACCGAGTGCTTCCACAAGAGCTCTGGATAGGTTACCGGCGCCAGGATGGGCTTGGGCAGCAGCGATGGGTCTGTGAACGGGTACTCGTCCGGGCTATTCATCGCAATTCGAGATGCATCAGTACCATAGTCCATTGGCTCTGGACCAGGGCGCGCCCCGAGGACGGCGGAACTTACGCTTCGAAGCGGCGAACTTTGGCATGTGTGCTTTCGGTCTCCTTGAGGAACCAGGCGAGCCAGGAGCTGTTCCAGCCCTCACGCTCTTTGAGCTCGGGGAATCCGTCCGACGAGTAGCATCTTGCGTTGCGCGCAAACTGGGCGCGCTCGATGAGCTGGAAGACGATCGTCTCTTCGAGGCGGATGAGCACCGAGCGGATGTTTTCGAGCGAGAGGATGTCCTCGGTGGTGGCAGAGTGGATGTCGAGCGTATGCATGTTGCTGTGACTGCTCATCTCTTTCTACGAAGCGGTTGCGAGTATGGCAGGGGACAACGCCGACGATAGGTGGTGAGTGGTCGTTAGATATAGGGCCCGAGCGGTGATTCCCCCGGCCTGCCAAGGGTGCCTTTGTCTGTCGCCTTTAAAGGGCCTCGAATCGAGCTTTGCCGAGGCCATTCTCTTTGCTCCACAAGCCGGCTCTTCCTTCGAGTCAGCGCCACCCTTTCACAGATTTTCCACAGCGCGCCTCCCCGCCTTTGCAAAATTGACCGACATGCACCCACCTTCGAGCGCAGACCACCGCCACATCCCTCTCTCGTCTTGCAACTCAATCCCGCCGCCGCTTCACAGATCAGCATGGTCGACGTCGCATTGTATGCAGCAAATGAAATTGATTCGGCTCACTCATCCCGGTAACGTCAGGCACCTTGGAGCGCGCTCCGCGGAGCTTACTGTATGATGTTGCTGGCTCGCCGGCGAAATGCGACCGAGCTGCGGCCACGGCCGGCAGCCGCGGGTGCTAAGTGGGCGCTAGGTTAAACCTCGGGACCTTGAAAGCGCTTCCATGCGCGGCCCATGTGTTCGTACTTTGTGAAGTCCTGCACGGACGGATGCGCGAGCTGCAGCAGATACCGGCGGAGGGCAAAGAACTCGGTGTCCATGTTGGGCGCGTTCCTGTACGCCTTGATCTTGAGGCCGTTGCGTGGGTTCATGGCAAAGTTGCGGCTGAGGTCGTCGATGTGGATGGTGTTGTGTGGGCCGTAGGCTTGGGGCCAGCGGCGCCAGATGAACTCGAGCGCCTTGACCTCGTGCGTGCCCACCTTGGACTGGATCTTGAACATGGGCGTGCGGTCAATCACAAACGAGATCTGGTAGTCCGGATTGCCCAGCATGCCGAGCTCGATCAGCTTCACCTCGAGCCACCGCCACGACGTCTGCGACCACACACAGATGTCGTAGTGCGGATACACGGCCTTGAGCAGCTCGTGCAGGCCGGGACGCGCGCCGAGCGACGCGGGCGAGTTCGGATCCAGCAGCCGCTTGGTATCGGCGATGCAGTAGTCGAGGTCGAGCACCAGCAGCTTCTTGCCCGGCCGAGGCGGGTTGATGATCGGAAAGTCGGAGAAGCGCTGGATCACCTTTTCGAGCTTGGCGAGATACTTGGGGTCTTTGTGTGGCTCGAGCTTGGGCGCTTGGGAGTCGGGTAGCCCGAGGTAGTCGAGGTCTTGCACGGTTTCGGCCCCGTCGCTCGAGAGCGTGCCCCCGGCGGCCTGATCTTTGAAGCGCCCAGCTTCGGGCGTGCCGAGCAGTGTGAACTGGACGGTGAGCTTGCACGCCTGTTCTGCATCTATGGCTGTGTCTGTAGTCTTGGATCCTTCAGCCTGCGTTCGAGCGGGACGCGGGCGCAGAGCTGCAGGTGCGTAGGGGACGGTGCCCAGGGGCGTCTCGTCGCTCGGTTGCTTGCCCTTGACCATGCCCAGAAGCTTCTGGCTCTCTGAAGGCACATCCGTCATGGAGAATAGGATAGCCTTGAGGTCGGCCACCGTCTCGTCCTCTGCCAGTCGAACGGACAGCACCGTGCCTTGATACTTGATCGAAAATCCCAGCATGGGGGCGGTGGTTGGGCCCGCCTCGACGTCGGTCTCTGCGTCGTTCTCTTCTGTCATCTCCGGCGATGACGATGGAGGTGTCAGGCGGGACGGCCCTGCCTCTGAAGACGATGGCGCTGCGTCCGGCGCTGGTGTGAGCATCCTCGGCCGCTTTATGTCGATCTCCGCGTCGGGTTCGGTAACGGCAGGTTTTCGCTTGAGATCAGGCGACGAGCACATGGAGCAGCTCCACGGCTAGAATGGCAATGACGCAGTGGCGACTAGAAGGAGTCTCTCTTACAGGAAGGTAGACGCCTTCGAGGCCCTTCTCGTCTCGTATTATGGATAGAAAGACTCTAGTGTGGTAGCAGGGAGGCCCTAGATTCGGTGGGTGGGGATATCGAAAGTGGAGGTTGGAATGCGAGAACGGCTGCGCTGTGCTGTTGCTCTCGACCGCCCAACACTCTGCGCATTGCGGTTTGCGCAGACCAACACTCGACGCGCGGCGGCGCAGCAACGTGGAAAATCAGCAAAAGTGTTGAGAGCGTTTCAACCTAATATTGTCTAACATTGTCGAAAATCAGCGACCATGCAGTGGGCCTGGTCAACTCCGCCCGAGAGTCAAAGCGTCAAGTCGACGCTTTTTGAGCTCACTTGGCTGCTGCTCAGCGGTGCCAGGGCGGGCCACGCGCAGTCCCGCGACCAACACAGAAACGCACACACACACACGCACGCACAAACGACGAGCAACACTTTCGACGCCTCACAAAGCACAGCAATTCCGCCGCGCTCAGCAGCGTGGGCCACCCAACCCAACAACCTTTCTGAAAGCTCGCCAAACCAACACCTCGTCGCTTTCATCGTCATCCTCGTCAACCACCCACCACTTCGAAACATCGACATCGTGGCTCCCTTCCGCGACACGGGAAGCCTATTGCAGTCCACCAGCGCTTCACCTGGTCAAGCAGGGCTGAGGACGTAGCCAATCACTGAGTGCATCACCTCTCCTTCCTCCGCCGCACTGGCCTTCCATGGCGATTGGAACCAAGCGTGATCGACCCTCCAGATAGTCAGTCTCGCCACTCGAACGTTTTGCTGCTCCCTAGAGTAGAATCGGCGCATCGTCTCGCCATTTCCTTGCCCTTCTCAACACGCCGCCCACCATGTCGAGTAACATCAAGGTCGTCTGTCGTTTCCGCCCGCCCAACTCCATCGAGCAGCGCGAGGGAAGCGACATTGTCGTCGACTTCAGCCAGGATGGCACCCTCGTCAAGATGACCCGGGGCGCTTCCACTTCGGGTCCCGAAGCCGGCGGCTTCACCTTTGACCGCGTCTTCCCCATGAACACCATGCAGCGCGATGTCTTCGAGTTTGGCATCAAAGAGACCGTCGACGACGTTCTCAACGGATACAACGGCACCATCTTCGCCTACGGCCAGACTGGCTCCGGTAAAACCTTCACAATGATGGGTTCCGACATCGACAATGACAACATGAAGGGCATCATCCCACGCATCACCGAGCAGATCTTCGAAAACATCATGGCCAGCCCGCCCCACCTCGAGTACCTCGTCAAGGTCTCCTACATGGAGATCTACATGGAGAAGATCCGCGATCTCCTTGCTCCTCAGAACGACAACCTCCAGGTGCACGAAGAGAAGAACCGCGGCGTCTACGTCAAGGGCCTCTCGGACTTTTACGTCGGCGGCCAAAGCGACGTCTACGAGATCATGCGCCAGGGTGGCTTGGCGCGTGCCGTCTCCTCGACCAACATGAACGCCGAGTCGTCTCGATCCCACTCCATCTTCCTCATCACCATCCAGCAGCGCAACACCGAGACCGGCAGCGCCAAGACCGGTAACCTCTACCTCGTCGATCTCGCCGGTTCCGAAAAGGTCGGCAAGACCGGCGCTAGCGGTCAAACGCTAGAGGAGGCTAAGAAGATCAACAAGAGTCTGTCGGCGCTCGGCATGGTCATCAACGCCCTCACCGACGGCAAGTCCTCCCACATTCCCTACCGTGACTCCAAGCTTACGCGTATCCTCCAAGAGTCGCTCGGTGGTAACTCGCGCACCACGCTCATCGTCAACGCCTCGCCATGCGTCTACAACGCCGACGAGACGCTCTCCACCCTCCGATTCGGTGTGCGTGCCAAGAGCATCAAGAACAAGGCCCGAGTCAACGCAGAACTCTCCCCTGCCGAGCTCAAGGCGCTGCTCAAGAAGGCCAAGGCCGACAACGAGCGTTACCAGCAGTACATCGCCAATCTCGAGGCCGAGCTCAAAACGTGGCGCTCAGGCGGCAAAGTGCCCGAGTCCGAGTGGGCTGACGCTTCCAAGGTGGTCGTTGGCCAAGGCGCTCCTGTGGCCGCTGCTCCCGCTTCCACCCCATCTCTGACGCCCAGCACCCAGTCGCGCCCGCTCACGCCTGCGGTGGAGAATCTGCGCGAGCTTGCGTCGCGGCCCGAGACGCCGTCGGTCGTATCCATCGACAAGGACGAGCGCGACGAGTTCCTGCGCAGAGAGAACGAGCTGAGCGATCAGATCGCCGAGAAGGAGGTGGCGCTCAAGTCGGCCGAGGCGGCACTGCGCGAGGCTACGCAGGAGCTCGCCTTCTACCGCGAGCAGGAGGCCTCGCTGTCCAAGGACAACAAATCCATGACCTCGGAGATCAACGAGATCAAGCTGCAGCTCGAGCGCGTCACCTACGAGCACAAGGACGCCACCATCACGCTCGACATCCTCAAGGAGCAGAACAAGGACCTCTCGGCCGAGCTCGAGGAGCTGCGCAAGTCGCTCGCCGACACGGCCAAGAGCGCCAAGGACCCTTCGCAGGAGGGCAAGGAGCGCAAGAAGGCCGAGCGCATGGCACAGATGATGGCCGACTTCAACCAGGGCATCGTCTCGGAGAAGGAGGAGCAGATCCGCGAGACACTCGCCAAGCTCGAAAATGCCGGCAGCGCCGGCTCGGGCGCGCTGTCGGCCGATGACCTCTCGATGCTTCGCGAACAGCTGCTCGACTCGCAGAGCCTGGTGCGCGAGCAGACCGAGCGCGTCCGCCAGGCGCACGAGGAGAACGAGCTGCTTCACCAGCGCCGCCAGGAGCTCGAGAGCCGCTTCGCCACGCTCGAGGCCGAGTACGAGGAGCTGCTCGACAAGTCGCTCAAGGCCGAGGAGGCCAACCACGTCAACGTCGACGTCACCGTCGAGGACCTCAAGGCGAAGCTCGAGTCGCAATACGCCTCGAAGCGCGAGGCGCAGGCGAGCGAGATCACCGACCTCAAGCGCCAGATGGAGCTCAAGGCCAAGGAGATCGCCGTGCTCACGTCGAGCAACGACAATCTTAAGAGCACCAACGAGGAGCTCAAGCGCGCCTTCGCCGTCACCACGGCGGGCGTCGAGGGCGGGCGCAACCTCGCCGAGTCGGCGCGCGAGCTGGAGCGTGTGCGCAAGACCATGGCCGCGCAGCTGTCCGAGTTTGACACGATGAAGAAGTCGCTCATGCGCGATCTGCAGAACCGATGCGAAAAGGTGGTCGAGCTCGAGATTTCGCTCGACGAGTCGCGCGAGCAGTACAACAACGTGGTGCGCAACAGCAACTCCAAGGCGCAGCAGAAGAAGATGGCGTTCCTGGAGCGCAACCTGGAGCAGCTGACCAACGTGCAGAAGCAGCTGGTGGAGCAGAACAGCAGTCTCAAGAAGGAGGTCTCGATTGCCGAGAGGAAGCTGCTGGCGAGGAACGAGCGCATCCAGGCGCTCGAGCAGCATCTCATGGACAGCCAGGAGAAGCTCATGCTGCAGAACCGCAAGTTCGAAGAGCAGCTCCAGGCGGTCAAGGAGAGGCTGCACCAGGCCAACCAGATGCGTGGGCCCGCAGCGGCGGCAGCGCCAGGTCCGCTCGGCGGATTCGGCAGGATTGCAAAGCCGCTGCGCGGCGGCGGACCGACCGCTGGACCCCAGCCGGGCTCGGTCGCGGCTCGGCAGGCGGCGTTTGGCGGTGCAGGTGCGAACGACAATTCGCCAAAGGCAAGATCGAGCTGGTTCTTCTCGTCCAAGTAGCGCCGAGCACGACAAGCTGCGTCGTCCCGCTTTACACATACCCGCTCTCGTATCTGTCTCTCGTCTACGTCCATAGAGCACGATGGTTAATTACTTTTCAGCTAGGCCCGTGGGGACACTGCAGCAAGAAAGCTGAGCATGTGATTGTGTGAAGAAGTTGCGTGAGGCTCCGCTTGGTGATGGCGTGGGAGCAGTGATTCGGGTGAGCCGCTTGACAGCGGAGTCTAGACCCTTGACTAGAGCTTTGACAGTGCGGATGACTGCGGATCCATGGCGACGCAGGCGTGGGAACTTGGTGTCGTTCCGCACTCGTTCCGCACTCTTGGAGCCAAATTGTGCTGGATATAAGAACAGGCGGGAGCAGCCGCGAGACCCTCATTATCACCCTCCCCACACCATCGCGAGATCGATCCAGATCATCACCGCCTACTTCCAGCATCACTGATCTCAGTCTCAAAAATGCCCGCCATCAGCAGTCGCGAGTGGATGACCCTCGCCAAGCTGCAAGAGATTCCTGCCGACCAACGCAAGGATTTGCCAAAGGACCAGGTGTATCTCGCGAGCTGACCGCCGAAGAGGTGGCCTACACGGACATGGTCGGCTACAAAGGGCGTGTCTACGAGCGCAAGAACGTCAAGATCTCCATCGAGACCAAAGAAAGAGCGTCCCAAAGTTGTCGAACCCGTTCCTGATCACGGGCCCTCTAAAGCTGCGAACACCATTGCTGATGATCGTGAGTGTTGGACAACCGAGCAAAGGCACGTTATTAGCATCTAGACTTGACTCGATGGCGTCCTCTTGGAAAGGCCAGGCAATAATGAAAAGGCAGTCGGGCGAGGCTTCAGACCAGAACGAAAAAGCTACGAAAAATCCGCGGAGGAAATAGGGCGCGAAAAAAAGGGTTTCGGACAGTCACGGAGTGGAGGGTGACATTTCAAGACGTTGCCTCCGACCTTCGTCCACCTTCTGCTATCGACGACAACGCCATCAACATGTTGCTACGACAGGCGCTCCGAAACAGCCACGCACTGCGTTCGCAGCTGCCACGCTCCGTCGAGGCAGCGTCACTGAGATCCAATGCACCCCTAGGTAAGTGCACCCGCATACCAAGATACTCACGAAGGACGACAAGAACTGACACTTGCAGTAACGGTGCTTTACAGTGGCCGTACCAGCATGGGCCCGATTCGCATCGACTGAGGCACCAGCTGCGGGCGAGGATGCAGAGGCGGCTCTGCTGGCCAAGATCAAGTCTGGCATCAAGGAGGCGATGAAGGCCAAGGACTCGCTCACATCGACGGTGCTGCGCTCCATCGTGTCCGAGCACCAGTACTCGTCCAAGCAGAAGGGTAACCAGGTGTCCAAGGTGTCGAAACTCATCACCAAGGCCATCAAGCGTCGTCAAGATACCGCCAAGCAGTTCCGTGCTGCCAAACCCCCGCGCGAGGACCTCGCAGAGCAGGAAGAAAAGGAGGCGGCAGTGCTCGAAAAGTTCCTCTCAGAAACCAAGTGATTCTTCTTGCAAGGCACAAAAGCTTATGATACAACAGCAATGCCAGTATCACACCGCTCAAGACTACAAGGGAGCAAGCGTTGTCTGCTAATGTGCACAAGGCTTGGGAGCATGGAGGGGTCGAGCGGCAGAAAAAGATGTGAGATCGTTGGGTCGATGTGGAGAAGGAGGCTTGGAAATCCACTTCGTAGGGCTGGATCGCCGTAAAGAGCCAAAGTGGGAATCGCAGCATTTTTGTTCGCTGAGCAGTGGAAGGCCAAAGCGCGAGAGCCCGCATAACGTCACCCGACAGTCGCGCTAACCTACACCACCTTCCCTCCCACCAAGCATCATTCGATACCTGATCCGGCTGTGATCTCTCCACAGCTTCTCTACCCGTCATGTCACGACACCGCGCCGTGCGCAATCTCGATCTCGACGAGGAGCTCGCAGAAGACGACTACTACGATGAAGATCCCTATGGTAGGTAGCGAATACACTCATCTACCCTGCCGAAATGAGAAACGCGGGACTGACCCAGGCCATGCATCTCACACGGCAGAGAATCTCTCGCCCGAGGACAATGATGCGATGACCGAGGCGTACTCGCAAACGCTCGACGTGCTCGGACCCACGAGCACCAACGGCTTCACGGAGCGCGAGATCAAGGACGTCCTGTGGGACGCCTACTTTGACGTTGACACTGCCGTCACGCAGCTCGTCGAAGAAAAGAGCAGGCGCGAAGCCAAGGCTGAACGCGACCGTCAAAAACAAGGTAAGTCCCATGCTCGCCCCGCTCGGTGCTGTCCTTCCTCAGACCTCGATTCTCTTGAACTCCCATGCAGGCGGACCCGCGTTTTCCTGCTGTGCGGAAGCGACGCGCCGAGCTGGCGATGCCTCTTAGCTGCAGGCGACCGGAAGACCAAGGATAGGACAAAGATCTGAACCCCTTGCCACCCGCGTACTTTGCTCATCCTTGCGATCGCGCCGCACAGCAGACGCGTCCTCGCTGTATGACGACGATGGCGCCACCGTCGAGGCTTTCAAGGCGCTGTCGTTGCAGAGGGATCGAAGAGCTGAGATCCGTGCAGGGCGCGGCATGCCAAGAGGGCGGGCCCAGGGACTTCGAGGGCTCGCGACCGGCGGCCGATCCGGCATGGCCAAACGCAACCTCGCTGGGTTGGCACCGGACTTTGTGCGAGATGCGCAGCCTCCAGCTGCCTCAGCTCCGCAGAAGCCGCTTTCCAAACTCTCGGCACTGGCAGCACGGTCGAGCGCCAAGCGCCCTGCCGAAGCTCCTCCCGCAAATGCTGCAGAACGGCCGCGCCCTGCATCACCAGCTTCGAGCGCTTCCTCTGCTTCAAACGCTGCCCCTGTGGCTGGCACTAGCCGACCCAGCAAGCTCGCCGCGCTCGCAGCGGCGCGCAATGCTTCGGCGTCGTCGGCCGTCAAGCCAGCGTCCGCGCAATCGCAGAAGGCAAGCGAGGCTGCCCCGGCAGCGACCGCTTCCAAGCCGCTTACGAAGCTGCAGCAGCGTATGGCGGCCAACCGTCAGCAGCGTGAGGCGGCAACGCCAGAAGCGATCGAGGCGGCGGCAGCCGCTGCTGCAGAAGAGGAAGCTCAAGCTCGCCCGCAGACGTGCTACGGCTCGGATCTACCCATCTCGTCCCTGTTCCCCACCGAGCCGTCCCCAACCGGCGCACAGTCGAATGGGCGCGAGAAATCGAGCGCGTCCATGGCGCCCGTCAGTGTCATCGCCGGCTCGTCCAAGGACGCTACCGACCAGCTCGTTGCGCCGCTGGCGCGGCTCAAGCCGGTACCTGGCGGATCGCCGTTCGCGATCTATGGTCAGGCCGCGGCGGATGATGCGTCGCCGCAGATCGAGCTCGTCAGGAAGGCCTTTGCTGGACCGAGCCCGGACGACGTGGTGATGAAGGCCCGCGAAGGCACACGGCTTGGCGCCAAGTGAAGCGGATTCCAGTTGTGATTCTCGCATGACAAAGCTGACGCGACGTTTCGCACCTTTCGTATTTTACAGCTGCCAAGAAAGCAGCAGCAGCAAGTGCGTCGACGCCAGCGTCCGGTACATCGACGCCGTTGCACCGCAAAGCAGCAGTTGGGCAGGCCGCCAAAGCAGCCGCAGCCGGCAGCGGCAAGCAGGGCGGTACGAGTGTGAGCCAGCTGCGCAACGAGATCGAATCGCTCGGCATCCACGCGGGCAGCAAGGCGGCCTCGTCAGCCGGCTCAGCAAGCAGCGCCATCCAGAGCGCGGTTACGACGCCCGTCGGCATCGCACACGAGCGCATCATTGACGAGTACCGCCGGCGCGAAAGGGAAGGCAAGGCGGAGCTGAGCCTGGTGGTCGTCGGCCACGTGGACGCGGGCAAGTCGACGCTGATGGGACGCATGCTGCTGGAGCTCGGTTCGATGTCGCAGCGCGAGTACTCGAGCAACGAGCGTGCGTCGCAGAAGATCGGCAAGGGCAGCTTTGCGTACGCTTGGGCGCTCGACTCTTCCGAGGAGGAACGCGAGCGTGGCGTGACGATCGATGTGGCGCAAGACCACTTTTCCACGGCGCACCGCACGTTTACGCTGCTCGATGCGCCCGGACATCGCGACTTTATTCCCAACATGA